CATGGATAGTCTGGGCAGCAAAATGTAATGGCCTTTTGTTTCACTGGCAAGATGAGATAACTCTAATCCAAACAATTGATTCCAGAAACAAAAAATTGCTAGTACAGTTGCAAAGACAATTGAGCTGAACAATGTGAGGACAATTTTATAGGACAACGAGCTATGAGGACAGGGCCTACTGCCTAGGGCGGGGTGAAGGTGTGTAGTAGTCACTTGACTCATGACTAGCTGGTATCCATAGCAACTACAATACATAAAAATGATTAACAAACAATAGTAGAGAGACAGGACAAAGAGAGAGAGGGGCAAAAGACTGAAGCATCAATAACAAAATAGCACACACAAAATGAAGATAAAATTATTACTATTATTATTATTATTACTATTACTATTGCTCTCATTAGTGTGGCGATTTAATGCCCACCATCATGTTCTCAGTTGAGTAGGTCTCCCTCCCTTCCAACTGAGATGGATGGCCTTGTCTAGTCCAGCCAATACTTAGTCTACCATCAACTATTTACTTTGATTATTATTATTATTATTATTATTATTATTATTATTATTATTCAAGTACTACAAAAAACCAAAAAAAACAAAAAAAATATTAAGAAGCTTTTTTCAAGGTCAATTTTTTCAGTCAGAAATTATAAACAGCCAATGAGCATTCATTAGGGGTAGATTTTTCCATTAAGATCTTGCATTAATCGGCACTACAAAATAAATTTAACATTTTAATACAAGACAATAATCTATTACTTTAACAGTGCATGTTCTGCACCAAATTAAGTCAAAAGAGCTACAAAAACTAACACATTATGATGGTACACAGTACACTAATACAGTTTCATTTATGCATTATGACAGCAGTCAGAGCACGCATAATTAAACAATAAACAGCTATTAATTCCAATTATTAATAGTGGCGTAGGCCTAGCTTCTTTGCCAATAAAATGGCCTCAGCATGCCATGTGACTGAAGAAGCTTAAGTTTTTTTCTTCCTACGAGTGGGTTATGATAAGTTATATGGCACAATAATGCTGCCTATATATATTTAAATGAGTTGCGAGTCTAGCACTGCTAGCCTGCCACATTTCTGTCTCAACCCTTCACAAAGTCAGAAGGCCAGGATGAAGTTTGGAGCATAAGTCTCTACCAAGTAAGAATTAAGAAATTCTACACATATTAATGAATTAGGAGGTAGTTTTCTACTGGTAAAAGGTTTTGTTTTTTTCGAGAGTGTCAGCATAATCGCTGTATTTTTTTCATTTTTCACTCTTTGTGAGTTTCTTCTCCCTAGCGCTGCTCTTTAAACACTTTCAGCTAACAAATGAAGGCTTGGACTACCTGTGGAGAAAGATGTGTGAGCCTCGAGCACTTAGTTTTTTAATTTTAAAAGTTAAAAAAAATCTCATTAAAAATTCATGGTGACAAACAACCAAACTAACTAATACTCACCTACGCGGCGAGTCCAATGAATGTATTTTACAATTAATATTGTGTGCTGCAAATTTGGGATGAAAATTAAGATAGGAAGTAAAGCATGCCATAGATACTCAAATATTGTTACAAGCATAATAAAAAGGAACTAAAATGTGGATGACATAAAGGCAGAGATAAATCAAATAAATTATAACACCACGAGAAGAATAACAAAGTATCTAGTGAAATGAAAAAAGCAAGAGGAAAAGCAACGAACATTCAGTGTTGGTATTTTTGAAAAAGCCTTAGGGCAATAGTGTTTCTGAGACAAATTATTTATTATAAAATTGACATTTGCAATTTGTTATGCAGTTACCTTAGAGAGATAATGTACATCTTCTACTTACAAACTTTGCAGCAATTGGAATTTGCTCAATTATAAAATGTAGCTTTAATGAACACAAACCTTTGACAACTGTTAAGCAGTACATAAGCATGCATTCATTAACAAAAAGTGGATGGCAATTTACACTAAACTTGTCATTTCCGATGGACATATTCCAGTCACAAATCCTGTCCAATTAGCAGGGCTTTCCCCTAGAAAATAAGTTTTAATAATTCAATTAATACGTTATTGTTTGTTACAAATAAGAGGGAATCATGCCAAAGCTTTTGAAAGTTGGTGTCTCTTAAAAGGGAAAGAAGTTTTGCAAACATTGCACAGTACAAAAACAGCTTATTTGGACTGAGCAGAGAAAAGGTAAGCTGCTCTGCAGACTTCACTGCCGCAGCAATTAAAGGGTAAGTCCGGTGTATTTTTGGTGAATTTTTTTTATTGGCTTAATATGATTGCCTGACCATAATAATGATGTATTCCAACTCCCATTGTCTAAAAAAATTTTTTCACTGAGATATGAGCCTTCAAAAATGCTCATTTTTATTACTTCCTGTCGGTGGGTGTGGCTAAACGTGACGTCACTAGAGGCATAGATGCAGATAACTCCATTCCTTTATAGGGGGAAATGATCCTTTATTCTCATGCCTAGT